CTCGCCCCCACCACTATCACCATCACCCTTCTTATTATTACTTCTCTTGGATCTCTCTCCAGCACACCGCCCCTTTCAACTCTCTCGAGACATATAGCTTAATCTTGGATCTCTTTCCTCTGCTTTTCATGGCACCACTCATTCATCACCAGACGGAAACCGAAAAGCAGCCACCTTTAACCAAGCATAGAAGGAAGAAGAAGAAGAAGAAGAAGCAGCAGCTTCAGGAAGAGCAAAAGCCAAAGCCAAAGCAACCTTCCTCATGGGACCACTTCAAGAATTTATTCAGCTGCAAACAGATCCAAGGCTCAAATATCCACGACCCCCAATATGCCTATTCAAAGCTCGGTTCCTCCTGCAATTCCATTTGCAGTTTCAGAGACGTTGTTCGTGGAAACACAAGGGTTGTTCACCGACCTGATAACTCACCCGACGGCACTACCCCGGCTCACAAAACTCGCTTGCTCGCCGGCCAGAAGCCTGTTACTTCGGCATCGTCTACTCGCGCTTTATCGGGGTCAACCAGATCTAAAGCTGCTTCAACCTGCCCCGCTTCTTCCAAAGCCATGCAATTCAGGAAGCTTTCTGGGTGCTATGAGTGCCACATGATCGTTGACCCTACCAGGTCTAGTTTTGCCCACCCCCTTCCAATGACATCTTACTAATTAATATTTCTTATAGTAATTAATTAATTTCTTATATACGTTGATATACAATTATTACAGCCTATATACATATATAAAAAGCATGAATTCAACATTGAAATATAGCAGGTATCCAACTCCAAGGACAACAGTATGTGCCTGTTCCCAGTGCGGAGAGGTGTTCCCAAAGATCGAAAGCTTGGAACTTCACCAAGCAGTTCGCCATGCAGGTATCTATTTCAACAGTTATTACCTGATAATAATCTATATATATATATATATATAAATAGGTATTACTTTCTATTGTATACAAAAGGAAATCTGAAACAGGATAGTCTCTTGCAAGAGTAAATATAATTTTGTTGTGTTAGATATTTCAAATTTAATCAAGTAATTGTGTGATTCACGAGTAAAGCTTAAATTTTCGTAAAAAAAATCATAATTCTTATTAATTAGTTGATATTTATATATATACATTATAATATAATTTTTAAACAAAGACATAATTACTCTTGAATTTTTCATTTCTCTTAATTATAAAATCACCCCCCAAAAACACACTATTAATAATTGGTATTGAATTTACTCCTTTAGCATGGTCACAGTTGACTAAAATCCCAGTTTGCTTTTGACCAACCAATCAATTACCCCGCCGACAACTCAAGAAATCTAAAAATGTTGATTCCATTAATATTTGATATCTTAAACCAGTTTCAGAGCTGAGCCCAGAGGATTCGGGTCGAAACATCGTGGAGATAATCTTTAAATCCAGCTGGTTGAAAAGAGACAGCACAATCTACAAAATCGAAAGGATATTAAAAGTCCACAACACCCAGCGCACCATCCAACGGTTCGAAGATTGCCGTGACGCTGTCAAGACACGTGCGCTCCACAGCACCAGAAAAAACCCCAGGTGTGCAGCTGACGGCAATGAACTTCTGCGCTTCTACTGCACCACCGTATCGTGCTCCCTCGGCGCTCGCGGCTCCTCCAGCTTGTGCGGCTCGGTGCCCGGTTGCGGCGTGTGTACCGTGATCAGAAACGGGTTCCAAGGCAAGAGCGAGTTCAAAGGGGTGCGCACAACCGCCAGTAGCGGTAGGGCCCACGATTGTGTAAAGTGTTCGGGGGAGCGTAGGGGAATGATTGTGTGCCGCGTGATTGCAGGGAGGGTGAAGTGCATGGCGGATGACGGTTCGGCGGAGGAGGATAGCTCGTCCGCAGGGCCAGGATCGTATGATTCGGTAGCAGGATACGCGGGGATTTTCTCGAATCTAGAGGAGTTGTTGGTTTTCAATCCAAGGGCTATTCTTCCTTGTTTCGTGGTGATTTACAAAGCTTTCGAATCTTGATTCAACTTTTTAACGTTCATCTTACTCCCCTGTAAAATCTTTCCCTTGCATTAATTGTTTAATTAACAACAAGTTTAAGTGATTATTAGTTTTTGTTAATAAATATGATTAATATAATCCCTGCTTTAATTATTATTATTATTATTTTTTTTTTGAAAGCGAAAACGTGATTGAAGTGCCAGTTGTATGGTGGCGGGTCTTTCTCATGATATAAAGACTTCAACCTCCACGCATTTAATTTTGCCGAATATCATTATTTTATATATTAATCATATCTTTATTTTATGTTATACACAAATTATAATTTTATATTATATTTAAAATTAATAAAATATAAGTTAGAATTTAAGAAATTAATTCAAGAAGTTCTATAATATTGAAATTGTAAAAAAATTAAATTTTATTTAAAAATTAAATAGATAACTAATATGTAATAGTAAATTTTAAGTTTTATATATTGTCACCTAAATCGTATTGGTTATAGTTTTAAAAATTAATTATAATATACAAGTAGTAGTTAATTAAAAATTATTTTTTTTTTGGTGTTCTAAAAATTTAAATAGATAATTATTATATGTTATTATACTAATTTTACTTTTATAATTTCAAATTTTACTTTTATATTATATTATATGATTATAATTAATATTAATGTATTATTTTTTATTTTAAAAATAAGAAAAAATATGTGACATTTTCCGATATTATATATATATATATATTGATTTCATCAAATGTAATAACTTATATATACCCAATGAACCAAAAATATGATTATGAGGGGGCACGTGCAAATTATCTTGGAATACTTACAAAAAAATATATGGGATTTGGTGCCTTTTGATTTTTAACAATCAAATAATTTCAATATACTTTATTATATGGTTATGAATTCATGATCCGGTAATTATGTATATATATATATATATATATATTAAAGAAAATGTAATGACATGGGTTAGACTTCCCAAAACCCTGATTAATGAGATTACCGAATCTCCTGCACTTTAAAAACTTAGGTTTTATGTATTAATAATCATGCATTCCCTACTACTCCATTGCTGTTGTCTAGAGAGAAGCTTCCTTCTTAGTCATCTCAACTTCCCATAATATATATATATATACGGGATCTAATAAATTTATATCCAACAAAAGTTTTTTCATAAGTATAACCATTTTAGAGTGTATATATATATATATATATATATATAATATTATAGCTGTCAGAATTAATAAATTTATAAAAGGTGACAAGATTGAGTTGCCGGCAGAACAATCTAAGTTTAGTTGGGGTGTTGGACATGAAGATTCTTCGTCTACTAACAACCAGATGATTAGGGTTAAAGTGATTTACATCTTCTCAGAAATTAAAGAATACAGACCTTAATTTTAAAAACAAATTATTTAAGAATACACAATGAATGAGAGAGAGAAAGTATATATATATATATATAATATATATATATATATATAGGGGAAGGGATGCTGTTGATGTTTTTTTAATATACATATATATATGTGTGTGTGTGTGTACATATATATTCGAACGTGGTGGCAAGTTTGGGTGAAGTCTTCATGAACTGTTCATTGTACATATGCTATTATATATATATATATACTGAATCGGATGGTGGGTGGTAAGTGTTTGGATTTCAGGGCTTCCTTGTTTTCATGCTCTGTGGCTTTTTTTTTATGCCCATATTCCTTTATTATTTGGGTTTGTTTGCATCGACCCATTTCGTTTGGACCATTTTTGGGCCCCTAAGTGGGAAGTCAAAATGTGCTTTCACCAAAAATATATATATAAATGACAGACGAATATAATATATATATATATATATATATATATATATGGCTAAGACAGCATGAGTAATACTAACAAAGATTTGTTATTTACCCAAATAAAGATTTAATAAGCAATTAGTAAACAATAACCTTGGACATTGGAGTGCCATATTGAACCTTAATTTAGCAGAACTTGTTCTTAGAAGCAGATTAAATTAATTAATCTCGTTTGTCGTTTGTCTTTGCTAATGATTAAACATGTGTTCAAAGTGAAGGAGATTAACACATAATGACATGAGGTGGTAGCTGCATGCCCCATTATTGTCCTAATATATGTACATATATATATACATATATATTTGTGTGTGTGTGTGTATGTACAAGTACATTGGTTTAAGGAAGAAACTGCAGGACATAATTATTGTTTTCCTACAAAATCATCATCTTAACCAATATGCCCTCCACTGTCAATGATGTCATCTGATTTATCTCTTAATGTTCATCATCCAATTCCATTAATAGTTTCTTCAGAAAGGGCTTCTTCCAATTATTAAGATTATTTGTTTTTTAATTTCTGTATGAACTAATTAAATTTTTTTAGTTGTGTAATCACAACACATGAATTTTAACTTTTAAGATAAGAAAAGATATATATAATTTGTTATCGATAATCTCAAATATCCCGTTCGTTTTTACCTATTCTAGTCATTCGAGTGATAAACTTTTATAAATATTCATGCAAATTTGTGAGTCTCAACTAAAACGGAGTAATCTGATAGAAATTAAGAGAATTGTTATAACAACTGATCTTCCAATTGATGGTACTCATTGTGTTCTTATTGTTTTAACTATGGACAGAAAGACCCACAGGCTAATTAATTTGGTTGGTAGACATATATGAGTTGGATATATAAGAATGTAAATGATTGTAAGTAGTTCGGGCAGAAGATTAATTTACATTAATGTGCTTTTAGTTTATTAATTGAATATAACAAATGTAATTATAGTAGTAATTAAAAATAAATTAGAAAAGCATCAGACCGTGAAGACCCATACAAATGATTTGATCACATGCTCTTCTTTTCAGTTCTCCATATGAAAATGGTGTTTTGAGTGTTCCAAAAATAGAATATTAAGGGCACAGCCTTTGGAAAACTCTCCTTTTTTGTATGTTGACGACACACATGATCATAGCATTGCAGTTCCCGGAGGGCATCTGGAAAACAATCAGATCAGATACAATGTACAGGCCGTGTGAAAGAGATGATCACGAGAGGTTTGTTGTTATACAAGTACCAGACACCTCTTCTAGTACTGAAGCTTTCAAAAAATTATACCCACAACCACAAATCAGTAGTACTACTCTCAACTTTTCTGCAATGAAGCTTTTCAATCGGTTTCGTAAGATTGTTACGCGTCTCATCTTCTCTTTTCCATCATCTCATCATCACAATACATCTTCTTCTTCTTCATCCGGCAAAACCAGGCAAAAGAACTGCGACAGGTTCGATCTTCCAAAGACTTCCTGCAGTTCTTATTACTCTTCTCATTCCCATTACGATGAGGCCATTGCAGATTGCATTGAGTTCTTCAATAAGTCGGCGCAGGATGGCAATATTAATATTCTTGATGACCCAAAGTCTCCTGTCTTTCTTTAACCGGCCGGGGCTTTCTTCAACAAGTTTATTAACCATGGCTAGTGTTAGTACGTTAGAACCTTATATTTTGCGCCTTGTTATTCTAATTAAAGATCTGATGCTGCTATGGTTTTTTTTTTTTTTCTTTTTCTATACATGAAAAGGATGATAAGCTACCTACTGCTGGTAATTATGTTGATCGCTGGTTTTGGGTATTATTATTTTGTTCATCTGTATCTCTTTCTGCAGGACGTTTGTTTTACCTGCTTTGGAAGAAAGTTGCTGAGATGATCATCAATGTTTGTGATATATGTGTATACCATATGATTGTTGATTGAAATATTATGAGGTGATTCTTCGGGTGCCATAGAGAAAAGAAATCTTATATCCGGCTTACAACTCACAAAATTCACTTTATTATTCCAGGCAAACTCCATACATTTATATATACTAGTCTAGAATTGTATAACACCTGAGAACTTTTTATTTTCTTGACAAAAAAAGTAATTATTCTTGAATTAAAGTATTGAACACATATATTAATAGGAAATACACGAGAGAAGTAGTAGTGTGGATTATATATATTCTTAAATAAGTTGTGATGATGATGAAGTTTCCTTTTTCTTAAAAAAAATTGCTCCAATCAAAGGGATGAGTGGCTTCTTCTTCTTCTTGATCTTGTCTCTTAAAGAAGGGTGTCTCTCCAGTTTCTGAAAGTGTTGAGGCAACATAACCTGTTCCAGTGAGGGTGGATTTGCAAATGTTACGTATCTCTTCTTCTGAAATTCTCTTCCATTATTATTATCATCATCATCATCGTCATCATCTTGTTGGACAATTTTGACTTCTTCAATCTCAGATTCCATGACTTGTTTCCTCAGCTGATGGAGCTCCTCTTTCGTTTTCTCAAGTTCTTGTTTAAGAGACGAAACACATGTTGCCATTTCCATACTTTCTTCTTTCGCTTTCTGCAACCTTTGCTTTGTCTCTTCCAACTCTGCCGTAACACTTCCAACTTTCACATTCCCCTCCCAGTTTCCATTTCCTTCACCATGCACCTGTTAAACCCACATATACATAATCATTTAAGTAATACCCACATACACATATATGTCTATGTATTACGCAGAGATTACGTATTGTCAAGCAAATGTTACTTCTTTTGGGAGACTGTATCTGCATGTGGTGGCAAATGGATTCTTGCTTGCATCTTACCCTTTCAAAATTCTACACAAACAGTTTCAAGGACAGAAATCTACCCCATTTTCTTAATTAAATTAAATAAAATATCCTAATATTTTACTTTTTACATTTGTTCTAAGTAAACCTTTATACTTTAACTTAAATAATTAATAATTAATGGGTAATTACTAACTTAATCTTAATCTCCACCTTTAATTCATTCCATCACACAGAAACTCAAAACTTTATTACTCTTACATGCACACAGCTCCATATACGATCGGTCCGACACTTTGCCCTCACCACAATCAAGCATATATCTCATAGTTTGTATAGAATTTGTTCTTACATTATTAATTGTTTGAACTTGAAGATGACAAAAATTAAACTGAGTCCGTATAAAATTTAATGTAGAACTTCGAATTTTATCACAGGCTAATAAAATTTGTATTTCTAAAACATACAAGAATGATCAAATTGCAAGCAAATTCCAATTACATTCTAGATTTTATTCTAAATATAGACTGTCTGATTCAATTAATTTGGAAAAAACACTTCACTCTAAGAAACTGAAGAGCCCATATGTTCATGGACATTATATTGTGTACATCTTTCCTTTGAAAAAAGTAATTACTAGAGATGTCAACTCCCATAACTTCTGAATGCAAGACCAGGAACATGTCAAAGAAATCGACACATGATGAGATTATTAAATGCGTTTTAAATTTCTTCAATGAAATATCAAAGACATAATGTGCATTACTGTAAGTATGAGTAGAAGAGATACTTATGGGTGTGTATATATATATATATATATGTATATGTATGTATGTATGAATGTACCTCCTTGAACTTGTTGGTATAGAGCTCAGTTGCTAAAACTTTCTCACCGAACAAAGTGACGGCCTCTTTGACGGAGCGGAAAGGCGGGCTAGTGTCTATCTCTGCCCTCTTCATCATCACGACATCACCTTCACTTCCCATGATTAATTCCAGAAGACTAAACAGAAACTATATATATATATGTATATATCTATCTATCTATATATATGTGTGTGTGTGTGTGTGTGTTTGTATGTGTATGTATATTTATGTGTTTGTGTATGTAAGTGGTGATATATAGTTAGATTACAGAGAGGGTTGGTTGCAAGTAGATGGGGAGCTTCGTTTCTTCGCGTCCACTTCACTGGAATTCTGTTGTCAAATTGATCCCACTTCACTGTTCCTTCGAATATGGGCTGCTCCTCCTTTTGCCACCGGCCCATATTTATATATATATATATATATAATATGATATATCAATCATAATTCTCAATTATTTACAGAATTCTTCAATTTATTTGTACTCCTAAAACACTTAATTCATAGTAAATCAAAATTTTACCTAAGTATGAACTAACACGAAGTTTAGAGGTAAAAAATTAGGTGAAGAAAAAAAAAATAACAAATTTGAATTCATAATGTAAGATTGCATTGTGTTAAGTTGTATTTTAAATATTTTATAAGATATCACATATTGCACGTTATGGTATACGAATTTGAATTTTATTTTTTTATTTTAATGTTCGAATTCTTTTTATATCTCAAATAAAAATTAAAACATAATCTATGTTAACTTAGCATACGAAAATATACGTGAATAATATAAAATTTATTATAAAAGAGTATATAAACGATATAAAAAAGTTATTATGGTAAAAACTTACACCATTGAAATAAAATTTCCTAATATTTGTAAATGGGTTAGGCGAATACCCATTTGGTTAGGCCAACATTGTAAAATCCATGGTGAAAGAACAGGCATACCGTACGCTAGTCCGCATGCTAGAATATCCCAACCAACTAAAACAAAACATCATCAATTGAAAATTGGATTGACCGAACAAGAACAAAGCACAGATGTTGTGTCAACATCGTCTTGTCCGCCCAACCTGGCTGTGTCCAAACTAAGTTAAACAAGAAAGGAAAATGGGAAAACGCAAAATAGGAAACCTACGTGTTGTTATATTAGAATCGAACTGGAAGGTAACGAACCTTTTAGCTGCTTCTTCTTCTTACCTAACCGATAATATTTATTATTAATTAATGTTTGAGATCCAAACTGTTGAGAGTTGAAACCTTCCCCCCATCACCGAATAAAGACACCAGACACTCACTGTTTCACTAATGCTCTCTTTCCCTCAGCCTCACATTCTCTTTCCCTCCTTCTCTCCCCTTCGGATCTTACTTTGCACCAACAATGTCTGTTGCCGCTGCCTCACCAGCCGTTGGATCTTTTCTTTTCTCTGTACGATCTCCCAGGGGCGTTCCTCGCTCCAGGATGGCCGTCCGATCTAACGTCGCCTCTGTCACTCCTATACTCACCAAGTTACAGAAGGATTGCGCCACACCTTTGCCGGTTCTGCGCCACGTGGCAGACGCCATGACCGCTGATATGCGAGCTGGCCTTGCCGCTGATGGTAGGGGTGAGCTGAAGATGATCTTGAGTTACGTTGACACTTTGCCTACTGGGTATCTTCATATTAAATCTCTGTGTTTAATGCCCTTCACTTTCTTTCAGTTGCTTTAACTTGATTCATATACTGTCTTCGCCTGCGCGTTAATCATCTCTAATTCTCAGATGAGAGAAATTGTTTTCTATCAAAATCAAATATATTTGTAGTAGTTAACTCCATAAGTTACTTGAAATCTTAAATGTAAGAGAAAATAGACAAGCATTTTCCAATCTTGTCTAATTTAGTTAGCATAAATATGTTCCAAAGGAATGAGAAAGGTTTATTCTATGCGTTGGATCTTGGTGGCACAAATTTTCGGGTTTTGAGAGTGCAACTAGATGGGAAGGAAGAGCGTGTGGTAGCCACTGAGTTTGAGCAAGTCTCCATCCCTCAAGACCTCATGTTTGGTACCACTGAGGTGAGGGTTTAAGCGAACATGGTTTACACAAATATTAGTCAACAACTAGGAACTTTTTGATGTTAATTGCTTTCGGTCCTTGCATTGTAGGAACTTTTCGATTTTATTGCCTCTGGATTGGCCAAATTTGGAGAAAAGGAGTGTGGGAAGTTTCATTTACCACAAGGGAGGAAAAGAGAGATTGGTTTCACATTCTCATTTCCTGTGAGGCAGACATCCATTGATTCCGGTATACTAATAAAGTGGACTAAGGGTTTTGCTGTCTCCGGAACGGTTCGTATTCTAGTTGTTCATTAGTTCTTACTATTTCTTCAAGTAAACAAGGAAAAATAACCACGCAAATACACCAAACAGCTTTCTTTCTGCTAAATAAGATAGGAGAAATGCTATAAGAATGTATATAAGATAAATCTAACAAAAATTTATTTGTCACTGCTTAGAGATCTCGTTCACCATCCACTTTTTCTTTATCTTCTTTTGTTTCACTTGAATTTCTTTATCTCATACAAGTATAATGACGGAAAACTTCAAATTCTTTGCAGGCTGGAAGAGATGTAGTTGCTTGTTTGAATGAAGCTATGGAGAGGCAAGGCTTAGATATGCAAGTTTCTGCTTTGGTATGTTCTCCGAATTTTACCATCTTTCTAAAACCTTGTATGCCACAGAAGGGATTTGTATTAATCGATGCCATTAGGTTAATGATACTGTAGGAACATTAGCCGGGGCAAGATATTGGGATGACGATGTCATGGTAGCTGTCATCTTGGGTACTGGAACTAATGCTTGCTATGTAGAACGGATGGATGCTATTCCTAAATTACGGGGCAAGATGTCTGCTTCTGGAACAACAGTGTGTACATCAGTACCCATCTCCTGCTTTCTCTTGTAGTCACCCAACTCAATTCTTTGTTAGTATCTCTAGATTTATCTGATGAAAAATCTAATTCATACAGATTATCAACACTGAGTGGGGTGCTTTCTCCAAAGGTCTTCCTCTAACTGTTTTTGATAGAGATATGGATAATGCAAGTATCAATCATGGTGAGCAGGTAAAAGTCTACTCTACTGTTGCCGATTGTTCATATTAACTACGCGAGCATCCATGAGTTGTGTGATTGGTCTTTTTATTGTCATATTTCATGAACAGATATTTGAGAAAACAATCTCTGGCATGTATCTTGGCGAAATTGTAAGACGAGTGCTGCTGGAAATGGCTGAAACAGGTTCCTTATTTGGTGAATCTATCCCCAAAAAGTTATCCACACCTTTTGCGCTCAGGTAATTCAGACTTCTGTTCTTCACTTGCTATATTCAGGAAGAAATTCAGAGAATCACGTCCAGTCCTGTTGAGAAAATCTGAGTCAGTTGGATTGGGAATAGTGTGCCTCAACATTTGTACTCTTTGTTCTCTGGAACTGCCTAGCAGATTCTCTTTCTGCTTTGAGGTTTTGTACCATTGGAAGTATAATTGAGGTACTCTTGGAAATTTCCCGGATCACCAATGAAGAGATCTCTAGCTGTTTTTCTTCATGTCAGTCAGTTGTAATATGTAGGCAGACTAATGTGATTCCAAAGACTTACAATACTTTGATATATTTTAACTATTATAGAGTGAATTAAATTTTTCATAAAATAACTTTCTTTGCATGGATCCTCCATGGAACCAAATGAATTACTTCATTCTCTAACATGACGGAAACTGTAATTTATAGGACGCCAGATCTATGCGCCATGCAGCAGGACGACTCAGATGATCTTCAGGCTGTTGGGTCAATCCTATATGACGCTGCCGGGGTGGTAAGTTTCTGGAGCTTTATTATGCTTTCTCTAGTGTATTTTAGAAAAATGCATTCCAAATATGGGCAATGTTTCATAACCAGAATCGTAAAATTGTCTGCTAAGAGTATTAAACTAGCCTTAGGAGAGTGCAAGTAGAAATTTTTAAGGCACTGATATCTGAAACATAACCATTTGTTCCAAAGTTACTATTACATCATACGAAGAGAGAAAACTTTGTATTTTATCGATTAAGCATTTAGTTGACAGACAGTGAGACGAATTGAACTAGGATACAGAAACAAAGAACAACGTTAGGATGGTTCCTTTGACTGGTTGGTTTTTCTTTTTGTCAAATTCATGATCAGGTAGAGAGCAACCAAAGTGCAAGGAAGATTGTCGTGGAGGTTTGTGACACAATAGTGAAACGAGGTGGTCGGCTAGCGGGTGCTGGGATTGTCGGGATTCTCCAAAAGATGGATGAGGATTCAAAAGGTTCCATCTTAAGAAAGAGGGCAGTGGTTGCAATGGATGGAGGGCTATACGAACACTACCCTCAGTACAGAAACTACATGCAGGGTGCGGTAACAGAACTTCTTGGGATAGAACTATCAAAAAATGTGATAATTGAGCATTCAAAAGATGGTTCTGGAATTGGGGCTGCTCTCTTGGCTGCTACAAACTCCAAATATGATCATTGACTACTACTTAGTTCCCACATTTAATTTATTCCCACTGTAATTTATTCTTTTGTCCAAGGATAATGGTTTTGCTTTTTTTTTTTTGGTAATGCTGTAGAATTCAACATTGTAGGAGGAATAAGTGGAAGATAACAATATATATGTATGTATTAGGACTGTAAACAGTAATTCCATCTTTGTTACAGACAATATATTTTTATTCAATCCTTTTAGAGTATTGGGTGTGATTCATATTTTATGATGACTTTACATATTTTTATTCTATCATCTAATCCAACAATGTAAACATATAAATCAAGCTATAAAAGAATGAAAATAAGAGGATATATAATTAGATATCTACATTCATTCATATCCACTACGTCTATAAATACACAGCCACTAGACCAATTGCTCAGTACTCGATCGTATTGGAGCAGCTCAAATCTTGGTTCTATTGAAATGATTATCTCTGTTCGCATAATAATGGTTGAATTTCTTCAAGTGAAAATTTATATATTTAATTAATTATAATATAATTTTTAATAAAGATAAACAAAAATATATAGTTGGATTCAAAAGTCTTAATTTTTTTTTTTATAATTAATATTTGGTAAATTATAAATTGTGTACAATCTGGCACTCGGAAGAATTATTTTGAGAATTTTGAACTGAAAATTAGAATAAAAAATAACTCTCTGGGACTGCTGATAAAATCAAATTTACCCACCATTCGATCTGCGAGTTACGATTGGCTGCGAAACGAAGAAATTGACGATAAAGCAAAAACATTTCAGTATTCTCTCGCCCTAAATTCTCTCTCTGCGCATAAGTCGTCGAACTTCTTTGCTAGTTTCATCTCCAATTTTATCCGGAAATGGTAAACTATTTACCTCGTTCATTTGGCTTCTCTTTGTCGAATTTTGTTTTCTTTCCCTACCGGAATTGAAGGTTGATATCTCTCTCTGGCAGATCCGATTTATTTTGTTACAGAACAGGCAAGGCAAGACTCGTCTCGCCAAGTATTACGTTCCTCTTGAGGACTCTGAGAAACACAAGGTCGAATACGAGGTATCAGTTTCTAAATTTTCGTCTTTTTCGTTTTAATGTTAATTCTTTAGAAGTTATTTTTGTAGTTTCACGCTAAAACTGAGGTTTTTGAATTTTAATTTTTCTAGGTTCATCGGTTGGTGGTGAATAGAGATCCAAAGTTCACCAATTTCGTTGAGGTTGGTTATTTTTTATACTATCTTGACTTACGGTCTTAGGATTTGAATTTGGATACTCTGTTCTTGAACTATTTTGTTTCTGAGAAAGTATGGCTTGTATAGCGCTAAAAATTGGAAATCCTAGAATCCCTCATTTTCATTTTCCAGAAATCCCTTTTTACTGGGAATAATAACGTAATGCCATACATCTGGTTTTTTATGCTTAGAGAAATCATGAGCTTGTAGGACTAAGATGGATCAAAAAGAAGGGAAAAAAGGTGATCAAGCTTCTTATTTTGGTGTTAAATATATTTTCAAATACTACCTATAATAAGCTTGGGTTAAAAGGGTAGTGATTTCGAAGTAGCATTTTTATCCTGCATTATCACTGGTGATTGGATGATAGTATGTACGAACTACTAGATATTTTCTTATGGTAAATTGTGAGATAGATCTTTTGTAATTTGCTTCAAGTCAGTTGTTTCCTACACCTTTCTTGAGCTTTCGAATAATTCTGCTCAGTTAGAATTGATGATAGGATTCACGACACTTCAAATCCCTTCTCCCCCCAACCAGAGGCTCAACTTTTTTGCTAAGTTATGTTCATCATTTATTATGCTTTATGCCATAAATACTCATTAATGAATGTCAATATAGCTGTAAAATTGTTTTGCTATCGGCTTCTCCTGCAAGTATCTTATCTTGTTCTTTACATATTGTTTTTGGATATAACTATATGCTCTTTGATTTAATTTTATCACCTACTCAGTTTCGCACGCACAAGGTAATCTATAGGCGGTATGCTGGGTTGTTCTTCTCATTGTGTGTCGACATAACGGATAATGAGTTGGCATATTTGGAGTGTATCCATTTATTTGTGGAGATATTGGATCATTTCTTCAGCAATGTGTGCGAGCTAGATTTGGTGTTTAATTTTCACAAGGTATGGGCCTATATACTAGCATTGTTTATTCCCTGATGCTCTATATCTGGCTATTTTCCTCTTAAACTCCATTGCTTGGGATTAGATGCCTGTTTTCTCATTTGGTTTCATTTTAATCTGTACTATGACTGTGGTTTACGAGATTGAGTTTGCATTTCCTGTAAGGAATAGCTGGTGGTGGTTGTTGGTTTCTAGATCTTCCTTGTGAAAATAGAAACGGCGGCAAGTTTTCTATACGTATCATGCATACTAGTGATATCACCATAATCCACTTATATGGATGGCGTCCAAATATCTGATTAATGTTTCTGCCTCTACAATTTATTTGTTTGAGTGGATGGCTAAATAATTCTGTTGGCTATCATCACGTTACTGTACTGCACAATTCCATAGAGATATCATATTATTGTCATCATATTATGCTTTGCAATATCAGCCTGGTACATGTCAAAGTTAGCTGTGATTTACCATCCATATTCATACTTGATATGTCCTAATACGCTTTAAACCAGAGTTGACATTGTGAGGAGAATTGTCCATTGATTGCTGCTATAGAACTTTGGAATTTATTATCCACCAGATTGTTGTGCATGCATACGAAGATGCTGATTTTGTCCATAGCTTGATGTTTCTCACTCTTATTTATAATTCAATTTAACTTGTTGAAGGTTTATTTGATACTTGATGAATTCATTCTTGCTGGAGAGCTTCAGGAAACAAGCAAGAAGGTTTGCATCTTTCTGGTTATCTTTAATTATTATTTCTGTATCTGTTTTGTTTGAGATGAAATAGCTTTCTCTCTTCATTATATCAAAACCAGATAGTTTTTCTTCCTTCTTGGAATAATTGTATTTAGATTGAGAATTTGGAATACATAAGCTGTAGAGCATGTTGTGTCTCTTGCTTCGCTTGAAGATCCAGGTCCATCCTGACAAGAGATATTTCATGTCTAATCTAATTCTTAAGGCTCAGATATCTTTTTTCATGTTGGAGCTCTGAACATCCACACGCCTACAACTCCGAGGCGTATAGAGTTTCTCTGCACTCACCTCCCCAAAACAGTTTCTTAAACATGCATGTAGGAGATCTCTTGGTCAAGACAATACTTTAAGGCAGGAATACTAACTGATCTTTGCTGTCTCTTGCAGGCAATCATAGAGAGAATGGGAGAGCTGGAGAAGCTAGAGTAATTATTCTATACTGCAAGAGTGTTTAAAAGTCTGCAATTTGTTTTGTAATTGTTTCCTTTTGTGGGTGATATTGGTTTGTCATTCTGCACAGCCTTCTCACCCGTGAATGTCCAAAACAGAAAGATTAACAAGAAAATATTCTTTGTTTTAAGAAGCGCTATAATCTGTCAGCATTTTTCCTCCCCCTTTTAGCTGTTTGTAACAATTGCAGCGATAGATGATCATTCTGTAGGCAAGGCTGTATCTGGTACATTATCATATCTTGAGAAGACCTCATTTGTGATTGGAAAGACATTATACAATTGAACTGTTTCTAGGTGCTACATCTAAGAAAATGTCAATGTTCTGCAGTGTATGAAACAATTTTGTTTTTGTGAGTTCTGTTTTCGTTCTTGGCATATATTTATGATTGTGGCATCCATTAACAGAAAAAACTATGATACTTGATTTGGATGCAAATCAAAGTTATTTGTAACTGCACTTAAAATATTATTATTGTAGTAATTAAAATCGGAAGAACAGACTACAGATAGCTGTAGGTCCAAGAAGGCATCAAGAAGTTAATGATGATCCTCAGTTTTCGCCAACTTTTATTTCATTTTGTATGTTTAAAGGAGATCCAATTATTGTTGTGTTTTTTTAACAGGACAAAACTGTATACTGCAAATAGAACTAAACTGTAAAAGCAATGTAAGAATACAATAACCTGCTGTCAACTATATTTACCGCGTTATCCTTAAATGCTTAATCTAGAGCAAAGTATAAATGAGTAAAACATTCCCTTATAAATGAGGAACTTTGTGCTCTAAATACACGGAAGGAAAAAAAAAGAAATTATACAAAATATTTGGGCAAAACCAACCCCTATTATAGCCTCTAGCGGGGGATTCTGCTCGCTGCACCAAGCCACCTCCTTCAATGATCTTCTATATCCACCAGAATGTGCAAGAACAGTAATTGTCTGTATGAACAATGGAAAAAGGAATTAAACAATGTGTGCATCCATCTTCTTAATAAACGCCATAAGCTACCGGACCATCTTAACTTCGTAGGCACTCATTATAGAGTAACTGCAACGGCAGTGCACTAGCAGCGTGAAAGGGAACTGCAGTTTCTTCGTACAAAGATGGGATGCGCTGAAGGTCCTGCCTCTTCATGCTGGCAGGCACCAAATGTTGCTGGTGTTGAGACATTGGGGTGTATCTGGGGCATAATACTTCTAGAGCCGAAGGGGTAATAGATTGGGAACATGGAATCAACACGGGATGTTCTTGCTTTCCATTTGCCCACTGGCCCGAAGATTTTGCGATTCCTGCAGGGTGGAATTGAGCCGATAAATTTGCTGCCCATAGGCGTTGTTGCTGCTCATGCTGTTTTGTATAGACCAAAGATGTTTGGAGGGAATGTGAAAATAAACTGCTGCTGTTATTCGGGGGAAGCTGCAGCTTGGCCTACAATCAACAAGTATAGTAAGACCGTTAGTAAATTATGATCAGGTCATGACAAAACTAATGGGACAAATAGCAGATACATCAAATTCTGGAGATCTTGTACGTGTTTGTATAGTTGCAATGGTTAAAACAAAAGCCAACAACGGGGTGTGACTCGTATTATCGGACAATTCTCATCAACTGTCCCCTCAAGTGGACCCCACTATGCTTTCAGCATTACTTCTTATATTATCTTTGGCAAAGATAGGTTTATTATTTTTTTCTTGGCTAGTCATTGACTAAATCTTATAGGAATACAAAAAATATAAATGGGTACAGGCATTTGATCAAATAAATAATTGCTACTCTTGTAATGCTGGATAAGGAGAGAAGAAAACCTGCTCTTGTGCAATTGCTGCTGGTAGCTGGTCACTGTATGCAGGGGAGGTTCGAGGCAGTACGAAAGGCATGACTGGGTGATGCTGCTGAAGGGAATGAAGGAATGGCAACTCGATCTGAGATTGTAATTCCAATCTATTTCCAGCTTTACTAGAACCACTTTTAGCTTCTGCCCCACCACATCCGGCAGACAAGGACAAGAAATCAAAACTCTGCATGAAACTATAATTTGATCAGAAACAGTGAGAGAGTAAATCGATTAGCAACACAAACATCATCAAGCTTACCTGGTTCTGAGAAGTCTGTACCCCACATGCTGATATTACCTTTGACTGATCTTGATGAAGGTTTTTATTCTGAACAACACCACTTTTAGCTTCATATGAATTTCTCTCAGCAGAGAAATTTACTATATTTCGAGTAGAAACAAAACAGTTCAAATCATCTCCTCCACTGTTTAAATCATTAACAGCCATAGAAACTTGTTGCTTTGATCCTTGATGGAGTTTCAGGTGATTAGATGGTAGAGGAGAATTTTTGGTACTTGACATCTGTAAAACCTGAATGAGTCGACTAATGTACACATGAGTCACACTCCTTGTTGACCTTCTGCTAATAGTGGCTTTGGAAACCTAAACAGTTTATAGTCATCACACGTCCATTACGTGCTTGTAATAATGCAAAAACATCTCTGGAAAAGCAGATAGCCAATTAAGAACATAAAAACCGGCATTTAGGAGCAATCAAATTTAAAATTGACTTCACCTTTGTATTTGAAGATCCATTTTCTGGGGCACAAGTCCGGGAGTCACATATTGCCCCATCCAGCCAAGTTGGAATTTTGGCAACAGAGGATCTGTAATATCAAAATGCATGAGTAATGAAGAATGAATAGTCGATAAGAAAGGTATCAGACAATGATAAGGAAGAAAATTACAGCAAATGGTTGGGAACCCCATCTGCTCGAGACACCGTTGAATACAAGCCAGGCCACAGCGCTAGACCTTATGTAAGAGATAAAAATATGCCATGGTCAAGAGGTTGCTATATGTAAGATCCCGTGTTATAAGATCAAAGTAAGATCCAGTCAATAATATGAATAAGCAAGGGGCACACCAGTTTTCTTGGACTCCCTTGCTATATGTTCTTGTCCAAACTGATTATTGAAAATTGTTGCCTGAAAGTTTGGCAAGAGAAATCATTTTATTAGGAATTTGATCTCCAAAAAGAATGTACATATATTAATTTTATAGTTATGCTTACCCCAAGTGAAATTTCTGGCTTTCGTTCAAGAAGTGCATCATCGAAAAAAGAGGACTGCTTCAATCTGCAGGACAATAAAAGATTAAGACAGATTAAATAAGAACAATCATAATAGAAAAGAAATGGACAGACCAGATTCAAAGAGAACCGCCCCACCTAGCATTCGGACTTAGTTCAGGTAGAACATTGGGAGGGTTGCACAACAATGGCTTTTTGTTACTCTGCTCAGTCTTATATAAAGAGGGAAGAGCAGTGTTCAGCTTCAGTTGTGGGACAGAGTTATCCGAGACCATCTCAAATTGTTTGATGCCGGGAAAATCAGGCTGCCACTTAACGGTGGGCTCACTTGAAGAATTAACTTTTTCTTGGGATGATGTCTGTGCACTAGTCAAATGTACAGCCTCAGGGATTGAGAGGTAATTTGAGTTTAAATCCTCCTTTACAGCTGCAAAATTTGACAAGTATACAATTAAAAAGCCGGAAGAAAGGAAAAGTAAACATACAAAAGGATGTAATAGGAAATGTGTAATAAAACCTTCAACAGCAGTGCCCAAACTCTCCCTATTCTTTGGTGAAGATGAATTCTTTTCTTGGGAACAAGTTGCTAATTTACTCTTAGCATATGTGTCATTCAGGGGGAACATGCTTGCTAAAGAGTACAGGGTCTCTACAACTTCTTCTTCATCTTTAGTGATTGGCCCAGAAACAGCCTGTCCTGGGGACCAGTCTGAGCCACCTAATTCCTGGATAGAAAAATCCAACGATGTTATCCACTGATAGGCTATTTCTCAAAAGAATTGATAGTTGAAATTGATAGCTACATATGACTAACCATGTTTGTTTCCTTTCTCTTTGTGCCATCCATTACGGATGATTCTAATATATCAACTTTATGATTCAGTTTCTTCAAATCGGGTAAAGGGGGAGAGACAGATTCGCGATTGCGCTTCTTCATGGCTGTACATTCAAAATCCAAACATACCAACCATTAAAGCAATTGAAGATCATCAAGCACACTTTCTTCTTCATATTATTTTTGGCTTTAGCTAATACACTTTATCATACCAAAAAAAAAAAAAAAACAAGTTGAATTATTCCTTTGGAAAAGTAAGCTTCAAAACTGAGCTTGCCATACTCTTGGAAAGATTCTACCAAGTGTGAAGATATGGGGCCTTGACAAGAATTGTGAGATGGAATTTTATTTATTAATTACATTGATGTTTATTTTTAAATAATTAAGATTTTTCTGTATTATAATGTTAATGGTGAAAAATATGGAAGCACTAAGCCTGCGAGGCACAATAGTAAAACCTGTACTCTTGAGTAAATAATCAAAATTTTAAAAGGATAAAATTGCAGATAACATAGTAAATATTTAACTTGAATTGAAAAAGACAACATGTAGAATCTTGTATCCGTAAAAAGAAACAAAAAGCAAAGCAACTTGAATAAGTTTTTGCTTCCATTCTAATCCTAAATTATGAATCCAAACAAAACGGGAAACTTCCAGGCAACAACAACTATTATCTCAAGTTAACATTAAACAGAGAGTTCGAACCAATTCACAGGAAATTAAACACAGCACTTGAATATATATACATATATATATACAAAAATAATTTTGTACAGAAAGAGTGATCCTTCATTTTGGAGTCACAAACCACACACCTGACCGTAGCTTTCGCGGAACAGTGGCATGACCCACGCCATTTCTATCATAAAAAACCTGGACCAATAACCATGGAAATAAGAAACAGAGTACAAAAAGAAAAATAAATTACAGATACAGCTGACAGATAATCAAGTTAATTAAACGTTTTATTCTACGTTGGAAATTTAAAACAAGAACACTCACCCTTTTGGGAAGCTTAAATCTCTTGCTGGTACCGTTACTCATATTAGATTGTGACTGGGAAAGAAATTTATTTTCTGCTTCGGAGACAACAGTATCCCCACCCATCTCGTGCTCTTTGTTGCTCGAACGCTTTCTACCGACGACGCTCAGTTTTCTGAGTTTCTCTTTCTTCGACTTCTCCAGAGATATATTGTCTCCGCCAGAACCTTCAGATTGCAACACACGAGAGAGAGAGGTTGCAAAAGGGAAAAAAAGCAGGAAAGTAATTCGTTTCTCTTGTTCAGAGAATCAGGTTCTTCCGAGATAAAGCGGGGAGAGAGAGAGAGAGAGAAGGAGATGGCACGCAAAAGAACTCAAAAGAACATAAAGGAGAAGAAAAGAAAAGAAAAGGTGTTACATTCACCCGTGAAATCCATTGGAAAAACACGGTAGATCTCAGTCATCAAAAAAATTGGATTGAAAAGGAAATTCATTAATGCACAAATCTCTTCCTCTGTGACCACACCCTATATTACTGAATCGGGCAATCGTATACCACTTCCTTCTACCCTTATATTTAGCAAAGACTACACGCTCCCTACACTCAGATCTTCATTTCACTAACCTACCAATTAAAACATCAAAATCCATAAAAATATACCCGATGAGAAAACCATTTGCAATAAACCTAGATGAGGGAGACTGCTTTTCCTTTCCAAAAAAAAAAAAACAACCATTGGGAGACGAACAGGGCAGCAAAAGAATCAGCTGAAAATTTTAGGAAAACTACCAGAAATGCATGCAACAAACTTCGAATTCCGCAAGCAATAAACTGCCGAAGATTCCCATCACTTGTTACCTCTCTCTCTCTCTCTCTCTCTCTGTGTAAGCTCACATATGCCGAAAAGACGGAAAATCCGAAGCTTTTCTCTTTGTTGAGTCACTTTTAAATGTATGAAAAAACGGTCTCTCTTTCTTTTCTGTGTCTATATCGCATTCATATTATTATTATTATTATTATTATTATTGTCTCTCGTTATTCCACGATCGACGGTGTCGAGTGACTGGACAGTGACAGCCGTCGGATCTCCACCGATAAACGGGACAAACAAGCTTACGTGTCAGCCACGTCGGATAAGACTTGCCAGATTGCGGCAAACTGGGCGAGTTCTGGGCCCTCCAATCGGTTGTGTTTAAAGTCGGAGTAACTGAAGCCCAAAATCTTAGATCAACGGCAGTCATTTCAGATCCTTTATGCGGTTGCCACGTGGCACCATGAGGTATCCGTACGAGCAGAGCGCTTCTCTTCTCTTCCAAAACCTGCAACAGCAGAAAAGGGAAATAGAAATATCGCGGTGCTCTGAATCTTCCAATGAAATAACAACGTGATTCTTCGTGGTTGTAAAGGCACGCGCCAGCAGCACCGAACGCTGTGGGTGTTAACGCGCATCGAAACGGTGCCGTATCGGTTTCGTTGGGGGCGCACGCACAACGTGCCAGCACAGAGGGTTTAACAGCGTGCATTTAGTTTGGAGTTGGGGGAGGAAATGGGCGATTAATTGCAGGCACTAAAACAACAAAAAGTCATGCGTGTTGCGTGAGACGGTTTTTTTTTCTGTTCGGACGCTTAAGATGAAATGATCGTCCGTCCGTCCGTCCGTCCGTCACTTGGAAGGAATAAAGAGGGTGAGTGTTGGACACGTGCGCACGTGCGAGTAAGACTTTGGAAATGATTAATCGCAGGAGATTAGTAAGGTTTATTAATAACATAACGTCTTTAATTATGTAACCATTAAGTTTTGGTTAAGTAACGGCGGATATTTTCCACTTCACATTTACAGCAATGCGATGGCGGTCAGGTAAATAAATTAATCCCTTAGTTTTTTAATTTAATGGAGAAGGTGTTTGTCATAAATTTAAAATAAGCGAATACATGATGGGTTTGGGGAAAGGAATAGTGAGTGAGTGTGTGTGTATATATATATATATATATATTAAAAAATATATATAATAATTGGAATGAATGATTGAGGAAAGGGGTTATTATGAAGTGAATGCTACTCTGCATATCCGGCGAAGTAAACGTGTATAATCTGCCGTGTAAGACAAGACCCCCCCCCCCCCTCCCCTCCCATGTATTGAGACATCATCATCTTAAACTCTCTTTTAAAATGCAACGAGTTTTAAATGTTTTACTTCAAAAACACTATTGGATGGATGACTCATCTCACCCCACTACTCATTTATGGCTTATTACCACACACACACACATATATATATAGATATGGATATGTAATATTGATTTGGAGTGACATATAATATTTACTTATGGGCACAAGATAAAAATTAATTAATTTCATTAATTAAATTACATATACAGATGATGTATATGAAGATATGATTATTGAACTGAGGAAATAAAATTTTTTTTAATAATTAATATTAACTTAAACTGTGAGTAGAGTATTCTTTTATTTTAATGACATATAAGAATTTTTTTTTAAATTTGAGATTATTATAGCAATTAACAAGTCATTTACTATACTTTGATTCTGAACATCTATGATCATAGAACTGTAACTGAAAGGATGTTGAGTGTGATTAAATAATTGTAGAATTAATGATTGATCAAGACGGAATCTGTCAATTTTCCTAATAAGTTTAAACTCTATATTGTCATTTATTATAATGACTAAATTAAAACATTGGTCAGAGCAGTTGAATGAATGAAGAAAATAGTTTTTTATGTCATTCATTAGTCAATTATAATTGACATGAAATATAGTTGGTTATCTATTGAGATTTGACAATTAAACCATATTCTATGGTTAATTCAGAACAATAATGACGGAAAAAAATATTACATATTTATTTAGTAGGTTCTTAAGAGTAATTGTACATTTTATGCTATCGAATTGTTGATTAGTGTTACTAGACGTCAACCTTAATTAGTAAATTGATTTGATTAATTTGTTACCAGTTTAGTGTTGAACCTATGAGATCACGTACTAATAAGTGTTATAACTCTTGCTAAATAAATTAATTATTTTAATTATTTAAAAATTAAATTAGAAATTTTAATTTAATCAAATAAATAAAATTTTTTATCTAAATAAAATATTATTATATTCTTTAAAAATATAATTAATATTAGAAACAAATTAAATTTTATTATTTTTGAAATAAAAAATTAATAGTTATATTTTTGAGTTATTATATTATTAATAATATAATATGTAAAATTATTATAATAATTGAAATTATTATAAAATTTAAATTTAAAATTAAATTAATTTATAAAAGTGTTTTATTAAATAATGATAATTAAAAAGAATAAATATATATATATAAAATTTTGGGTGTTAAAAAGAAAAAAAAAAAAAGTGGATGAATCCAAATACACTTAGGGGGAGAGTCCAAATGAAAAGAAACTACTCCACCCATGCTACATATATATATATATACACACACACACACACACGTGAGTGGAGGTTTTTGAGAGGTGAATTAGAAAATCATATAAAATTTTAACACATGAATTTCTTTATAAGTATCATTAATAATATTTATTTCGGTGTGGATACACATAAATTATTTATATTTTTAAATAATTTTAATTTAAAAATTTACTGTAGATATATTTTAAATTTGATATTTAATCTGTAATATAATTTTTAAACATAAATATATTTATGTTTACAGTCTTGCATCGTAAACAATTTTAGTTACAAGGGTATGTGTTTTCGTAATTTTAGATCATAATTTTCCAGTATAAGAGTGCGTATTACAATGTATACGGGGGAAGAAATCCCAATTCAAGGGCACTTGTGTCTGCCTTCATGAGTGGTCATGTTGGCGTAGCAAGGGCAGGCATCGTAGTTGCCGTAAGTGCCAGGAGGAACACAGTCACAACGAGCGCAGCATGTCCCGCACGCCCTCATGCACAGATGCGGCCTTGACGATAACTGGCACCTACTCTCACATGCTGCATCGCAATCTGAAATATATATCCAAACACACGGATTAAACACTCGTATATTACCTGCTCTTACATATATACATACACAAATACGAACATTTAGTAAAAGTCCATCTACGCAAGGTTTTATATGCATGTGTGAGAGTCAGAGATGAGCAGGTTTGATTAACTTGTACCTATTTTCTCCAGGATCAGATTATCCTCTTCTACGGTTCTGATAACCTGAATTTCAACGCATGCAATTATAACAGTGTGGGTTAATTATCATACACCCAAAAATATATGTAAAAATATGCACGTTTGATTTGCAATATTTAGGGATAAGACAGGACGTTTCACCTGCAAATCAGACTCGACAAGCTGAGTGAGGAGAAGAACAGAAACAAGAAATGAGGCTAGTACAGGACGGTCAGCCTCGAGCATGGCCATTTGCTTCAATGAAGAATTAATATTGAAACTAAAATTTGATATTATAATGTCAAATTTTCAAGTACATATTTATTATGATCAGTATATATGTATGTATATATATATATATATATATATATATATACTAAAAAAGAGAGTAGGTGAATCCTCATTAATTGAGTCGCAAGGAAGGTCCCAGTTCTTCACATGTGGTAAACATTGAGAGGAGCTTTTTTGCTCCCCCTCTTATCTTCTAACCAAAACATGAATATTACATGGCCCATACTTGGCGTATAACCCAGGCAGTCTCTTCTTCCCTTTATTTTGCAAGCAACCCAAGACTGTTTTTTTTTTTTTTTTAAAGTCATGAATTGGGATAGTTTTACTTGTAAGTTAAATATTTTCTCTTATCTGATCTTTTTTGAGCTGAATGTAAAATATATTTTATACACTATAAATATTATACCAGTCAATGCTGGATGTCATGATAGTTACCCACCATAAGAGACAAGGCCATACAATTATATCTAGAATCCATACATATCAAGTAAGAATCAAAAGTGTAGGTTACAGCCCAATAATATTTTAACCAAGATATGAACTTATCATCCGATGAAGGGCTCGTCGAGGGAGACAGCTTTATATATATATATATATATATGTATGTATACCTTTCGACATATATATAAAACACAAGTCAAACCTTACTGGGCTTCTGGGCTCTTAAATAATGTGAGGAGCCCAGATGAACTGTTTGGTTCCAGGGAAAAAAGATTAGTAAAAAGGAACCAAAACAGATTCTGGGCTCTTCAACTTCTGTCTTTTTCTCTGTTCTTTAATTTTGTTTGTATTTTACGTCTTGAATAAGATTTCTATACCTGCCTACCTTCAAATTTTCTTTTGGAAAAGGAATTAAAGATGAAAAGAAATTAAACAAGGCCCAGATAATAGAACAGAGTATATATATATGTATACATAGTACTCTTCATTCATAGTAACCCGTATGTATAGCACAAATATCCAGACTCCAAATCAACGACCATAACCTCGTCTTGACAGATGGCACTCAACTCATTTTATTCATGACTACCCTCATTTACGTAAGCTGATCTTAACACACACACACACACATATATTATACATATATATATATAGTGATGAGGACAGATGTTGATGTGTAGCTGAAGTTCAAGGGCACTTGCGTCGGCCACCGTGAGTAGTCAAGCTAGCGTAGCAAGGACACTCCTCTTGGTGACCGGAAGTCCCTGGAGGCACACAGTTGCAACGCGCACAACATGTCCCACAAGCTCTCTTGCACAACCGTTGCCTCGACGCTAACCGGCACCTGGCGGTACACGCGCTGCCACAATCTGCATCAACATCAAACAATATTGTATATATAAGCATCCTCATATATCTATACTAATTACAATTATTTAGCAGAAAATTACCAATTTTGGCTGGAGTAGTAGGAGGGCCTTGTGGATATGAGGTGGTCACCTGGATCTCCAAACACGGTCATAGCAGTACGTATGAGCATACATACGCATCCAACATATACACATGCATATATAATGATATAATTAAAGAAATCTTAAGCGATGACAAAAGCAGAAAGTTTACCTCGTCATCATCAGCTTCCGCTGTGTGGAGAAGAAGAAGAGATATGAGAAGACAAGCAACGAAAGCAGCAGCTGGTTTATAAGAGGCAGCCATGGACATATATATATATGGGTCTGCGCCTGTGTGTGTGTGTATATTTATGCACTGGCATAAGGGAAGGGTGTATATATAGGAGTATTTATAGGAGCACTTAAGGGTGTGTGGTGGGGAGTGATCGACTACACAACAGGCTACAGGTACGTGTCACTGAATCATGTAATGGTGTATACGCGGAAACTAAAAAGTAAGAAGACAAATTTGCCTTTGGAAATTGGAATCATCTGGATTTCTAGTGACTACTGGTAGAATCATTTCAAAAGATAAAAGCAAAAACGAAAATGTATTAATTGTTTTATAACACTAAATAATAATATGGATAAGCGTAGTTTTCTCCTTCTTAAATATTTGCATGAACATCTCGTCGACGGACATAGACTGATCTAACTCCAACTTGCAGCCACAGTGACGACGACCTTGGGCAAACTTTCTCAGCCATCTATTGAACTGGATTTCCAGGTTTTGTTTCTTCTTATTATAATTGGAATTATCTGTGTTTTTGTCTTATACACACACACACACACACACACATATATACAATACTATCTCGAAGTAATGATATTCAACAAACATCTGCATCCTTACACCTTTTTTATATATTGTTTAATCAATTTTATTATATGTCTATCTTTTGCTAATTAATTTACATTTAAAGAAAAATCTTGTTTATTTTTATATATACACATAATGCAAATTAATTAAAATGGGTAAACAACGAGTTAAGTGCTAACTAATATATCGTTAATTAACATTAGATGGGTTTAATATATATATATATATGTATATGTTTTATAATATATAAAGTGGGTCTAGCTAGAACAATCAAATTACCATAAACGACTAATAATCAAACAAATTTGTAATAATTGTATGTATAGGTGCATGTATAGGAAAAACTTAATAACAAAATGGCTCCAAGTTAAACAATTGAATGAGGCTTGGCACGATTGGACACTTCCCTATCTTTCTGCCTTACCAAACAAAAGCTAATTCTCCTTTCTCCTAACTACTTGTGCGTTGTCTTGTACAATTGCTTTAGAAGCAAAAGATTGAAAAAGCAAGTCTACCATTGTGTTTGTGTCTGTGTGTGTATATATATATATATAGGCGATAAAAATAACATGGCCCCGCTGCAGACATGGCTTTGAATTAGTATGATAAGGTGGGCGCGAGCGAGGCTTACTGAATTGGGAAGTCTTAACAGCTGTATTCTTCTAATCTTCAACATCAATTTTGGCTTCCATCTTATCCCCACTGTACTTGATAGTTACCTTCTTCTGTTTCAGTATTTGCATATATATACACCCACACATACAGATCTACTACTACCTTCTACTTTGGCATTTTCTGTTTTCAAAAAGAAAACTTGTCACTACCACTTTCGTATAATAATCAGTATTCCACTCAACCCAGAGAAAAAAATGCATATAGAGTTTTCTTATTCAGCAAACCAGATCCATATTGATCAATAAACTTTCCAGGAAATACACCCGTAGCGTATGAGTATGCTTAAAGGTAATTGACACTTTGCAGGAAATACAATTGTAAAACCTGGAAAAAATAAAAATGATCTGAAAGGAGTTTGATGATTATGCTTAAGGTAATTGCCAAGATTCCAGTATGGCCCCCTTTTTTTCAATTAATTTTGTCAGGCCAAGTCCAGGTTCAAGTGAACTGGGTTCAGACCAGGCTGTACAAGCTGGGTAAGCCCCATTTAGCTCAACCCCACCAGCCCTCCTAAAGAATTATGCCCAACCCATTCAGGTGTGTAATTCGGCTGTGTCTAGCAATTGATTAACCTGTACCAAACTCTCGGGATTTGCCACTATGCCAAAGAGAGACAAGATAATATCTCCAACAAAAAACAAGAAGTAAATGCAGATCTGACAGCCGCAGAAATGTGTTCGATGAATGGGTGTATAAATTAAAGTATCAAAATTCAGCTTGTGCTAAATTTGCATTGCACCAAACAGCACAAATCCAATGGCCGCAAGACAAAAGCTAAAATTATAGTTGTACAAAGTGTCCTCGCTTCCTTCCCAAAGTGCACCTCATAGAAGCAGACAAACCATATATCACACTTTTCCAGTTATTGGCGGTCGATGCAGTCGCTGCCGTTTTCTGTGTGCTCTGCATGGTATTTTTGTAGATTCATACAACCCCAGAAGGTAGACGCAGAATGAGTTGTCCACCCATGATGCTATAGCAACAAGGAAGAAAAAAGTAAGTTTTTAGACCAGGCAAGTCCAACAACATAGCAAGAATAATCTGCTCATCACCCACCTCTTCACATAGTAGTAGCAGAAATCGGCAAGAATGAAAGTCTGGACAATTTCTGAGAAAAGGACCATAGACGGCCACAATCCATGACCTAATGCTGTCAATAGGCGCCCTCGGGTATCCAATACCTGTGTATTGAAAGGAACACCACTTTTATAAGTAACCAAACATCTTACACACATTCAGCGCCCTTCACCCACGAACAGATCAAGGTCACAAATATTTAATTACAAAGAAATAATAAGCTTTGCTGGATGTTTAAACTGCAACAATCATTGATTTTTTTATCTTTAAGAGCAATAACTACTATAAAATATCTTTTAAACCTCTTACAATATACCTCATCTTTTATGGATAGATCGTTATGATGCAACAAATGTACACCGTATTCTACATGCATTGACCAAAGAGTTCACTAAAGATTACATTTTGCTCATGCACATGCTCTGTCAATTTTGACTGCCATTACATGCATACAAGAATGTGTTAATATTTCAGCTGAGGTTTTGGTAAAGTTTTGATAATATGCCAAAAGAAATCCAAAAATAGATGATCAATGCTTCATAAATATCCATAAAATTGAAAAACATATTCATCAATGTTTTATAGATGGTCAAATGAGAGAAGATTGGAGTTGGTGATTCACAGTTACAGACATCAATGCTCCATAACTAATGAAATGATGAAATTGGACAATGGCCACATAGTTGCTCCCAATTAAAGAAATCTACCATAAATGCAGACGGAAAAGTAAATCAGAAATCAAATTGCCTAAATGGTTTGATGGGTAGGTGATGCCAATAAGTGTCCTGACCTATTAGTTACCAGTACTCCAAAGTGGCTAGCAGACAATGTCAATTAAACAATATTCGCAAGCAAATGAAAATTTCTTCTTCCTTTCTTTTCTCTTAAGTGAATAACACAGTATGATTCACTTATTAGATTCATATACTCATGTCTAACCTGGAGAACCCAATGTGCACAACTCAAGAACCTTGCAATCCCCAATGCAAATACATAATGTGCTGTGAATGGTTCAACAATCTGAGGGAAGACAACAGAAACACAAAAAAGATAAGTTTCCAATAAAGTCTTCAACATAAAAATAGAAAAAGACCTGAGCCAAAAAGTGTAATGGTCCAACTAGAAAGCAAGTGGCATCACTACAAAGAAAATTAAGCAATGAAATACCATCCAATCAAGGGAAAAAAGGCAGGCACATGTTGCTTCCTAACCTACCTTCGTGTTTTGCATGACCCGTAGCTGAGGTAGAACTGAAACAGCTTCAAGATAAACACAAAAAGCCCAGGAAATCCTGTTGATTATGTTATGCTGTGTTGTTGGATGAATAAGTAACGATAGAAGAGCACATGGAATTACCTATATCAAAGTAAAAAGAAGACAGCAAGTAGTTATGCAACATACTAGAAGAAGTTCAGCAAATAATTTACCACAGAATCAAAAGATGTTAAGATCTGTAAATAAAATACTGATTACTATAAAAATGTGTTTGAAGCAACAGCTATACTCTAGTAAACCGAGACTCACAATGCATATCAGAAAAGGAAAGAGGAGAGACAACCTGAAGGAGAATAAGCTATCGTGTCCAAATTGACAAGAACATAAAAGAAAATTATTGCATGCCCGTTTTGTTCTTTGTTTTAAGTTCAAGATTCTCTTTACTAGATTCTCTTAAACTAAAGGATTTAGGCTTCAATTTTGAGCTCACTTAATAAGGTGGTAAAAAATTAACTATTCAAGCCCGCAAAGGTAATGTAATAAAAAGAAAACCCATCACCTCAATTGACAAGGTAATAGGATGCAAAACCTAAAATTCAGCAAATTACATTTGTTAAGGAGTGATATAAAGATAAATGCCTAAAATACAGAAATGTAAAGCAGCTCTAACAACTTATTGAAGACCACAGAACAGAAACTTCTACCAATATCTGATTGGTTGAATTGAGATATGTCTCCCAGTATGTTCAGAAAATACTTATATGTTCAAGAATTAAGTACTCCATACACCTAAACAGATAATTAAGAAGGAAGTCTCCCACATAAAGGCCACTTTCTTAAAAAGATGCCCATGTCAACCTAACAGGAAACAGTTTCATAGACCAGAGCTAAAATAACTTCAAGTCCTTAGATTGACAAAATAACAGCTACATTGAATACCTGCTGCACATGATTGGACGAGGTATGTGGCATACTACGAACTTAAAGTATCAACTGAACACAGATTGACATCAAAGGAAAAACGGGAAACTAAATTAACTGCAACAATGAAAATTTACCACATAATAAATTGCAAAGTTGTCTTTGTCTTCCATGTAACTGGACCTTAGCTTAAAGCGAATCATATAAATAACCCAGAGAGTTGTAACCAATGTAGCCGAATCAAGCAGGGTATGCATATCATATTCCATGACAAAACTGCAATACAGTCTAACAGCTAAAAATATAGCAGTTAGCTCCTGTGATTTCAGTGACAGTCCTGCAAAGAAATAACCAAAATGTGGCCATCAGCAATCAACTAGAGCTCCTATTAAAAACTATATAAATTATTTATACTCCTTTTTGTTCCCTTCTTATGTTGGACCAAACTGAGATATTTTTCTTCACCTCTCCGATTCCAAATCCCACGAATAACAACAAATTACAGAAATAAAAAAGATAATCTCAATATCAATGTACTAATTTTCGCTATCTTCCTCATAAGTAGCTAGAGGGTTAAGTACCTACACAGATCAACAGAGACTCCCACCCACGCCCGAATGTAATAGGAAACTCAATTAATTGAACTGAAAAAGTAAGACATACAACGTAGTCTCAAGGACAAACGCCCAACCAAATTTCTTGACTTGCAAACGGTGAAAAATAGGAGAAGTTTAGTATAATCAACAAAGCCATCACGTTGAGAATAAAAGAAACGAAAGAGAAGATAACCCAAGAAAACCCAATTGGCAGTGGATCCACGTGAAGTAAATAATTGGAAAATTGAGAAAAATTACCAGCACAAGTCTTCTCCTTCATGAGCTTGTAAATGAGGACGGAGATTCCTAGGGCGTGAACAGCCTCTGCAGCCACAAAGAGGTTGTCGTGATCGTGGACCACCATTCTGAGGAAGACAAGCGCCGCCATGCCCGAGACTACGGCTAAAAAGGCCTTGATCTTAGGTGGCTGCCTCCTCACCCATGTCGCCACCGCATGGATCGGCCTCTTTGTCGCCTTCATTGTGTCGCGTCTCCGCTCTCCCTCTCTCTCTCTCTCTCTCTCTCTCTCTCTCTCTGGGGCTTCTCCTACTAGTCAATACTGCTGAATAGAAGTGATGCTTTGGGTTAATGCGATGAGGTTTGATTCGTTGGAAAGAGAGACAAGGGTAGAGGAGTCGATCAGCTTCGTCGACGTGATGGTTTTAATACGTAGACAGAGAGAGAGAGAGAGAGAGAGAGAGAGTGAAGACGGTAATGAATTAAAACCAGCTTTACTGAAGACACGTGGAATGTGCAAGCAATTTGGCTCAACCACCCACCTTCCATAATATTGTATTAAATTACCATTTTAATTAAAATAATTTAGTAAATAAACAATAAAACCATCTTTACATTTTAATTTTCCTCCTCCCCTAAAGTTTATTTTAATATATACTACAAATTAAATATAAAAAAATGGTTACATATAAATATATTATATATGAAGCAAGAAATTCATGAACTTGTTGAGCAAATTGATATTTTAATTTTCTTGCTTCTATGGCACACATTTGTCCCGTGGAGTATTTTTTAAGATAGTTTTTCTCTCGATTTTGTGATTGTTTTTATAAAATTTAAACATGTGAATTAAAACATAATTTTTAGTTTCTTATATTGGATCGGATTTTAAATATTAATGTTAGTGCAACACATATGTAATAAAAATTTTAAATAAAATAATATTTTAATTTTTACATATAATTCAAATAAAATATTATAAATTTATTCTTTTTAAAAATATATATATAATTTTATTAATGCAATATCTCATATATGAAAGTTGGAAATTGATTCTAAGTACAAAGACTAACATAACAATGAGAAGCTCTTGCGAGATGGTGAGCCTCCATATTTGCTTGTACTGGGGATAGGACAAAGGGTCAATTTTAGAGTTCGTAGTTGTATCATTTTATAAAAAATAAAATAGCAAATATCTTAAATAAATCACTAAACTAGCATACATTGAGATAGATCATAAAGCAAATAATATAGTTTATTTTAATGATTTTTATAAAGTAAGTTTAATATAAAAGTACTTAGAAATATAAGTAGAAATACTAAGAAATCCTTATTGGAATTAAGTTTTTCTGTCATTCGGTAGTAAAGAAAATTTTTTCGAAATTTCTCAAGAAAACTTAAAATTCTTCTACTTACCTGAATAGTAAGTAGAAGCCAGTAGTTAACCTAATAAAGCTTACTCCTTTCGATTAAGGGCATCAACAACTATATTATCCTTATCTAGATGATATAAAATTTTACAGTCGTAGTCCTTTAAAAGATCATCCAACACTTTTGTCTCATGTTTAGCTCTTTCTTGAAGAACAGGTACTTCAAACTTGTGATCATTATAGATTTTAAAAATCTGATCATACAGATTAGTGGTGCCATATCATTAAGGCAAAGACAATGGTGGTAAGTTCAAGTCATTTGTGGGGTAGTTATGCTCGTGTGGCTTTAGTTGTCTAGAACCATACGCCACTACTCGACCATGCTGCATGAACACACATCCTAGACCAATATGAGACATGTCGCAGAAAACTTGAAACTATCTAGCATTATTCAGGAGGATTAGAATTAGAGTAATAGTGAGTCGGTGCTTGAGCTCGACAAAATTTCTTCACACTTTTCATTCCATTTGAAGGCGATTCCATTTTCAGTGAGTTTCATTAGAGGAGTGACAATTTAGAAAAATTGTTTGACAAACTGCTAGTATAATTTTTATGTTTTGTCTAATATGAAGTAATCTTTTGTACTATTTGCCGATGACTCTCATTTCAGACAAGTTTATTCTTTTAGTATTCAACGCATTTACAAGTATTTTGGCGTCAATAAGAATTCTTTATTGTTCATAGAAATGTTTCGTGGTCTAGATGATTGCTTCACGAACCGCGATAACCTCTATTATTTTTGATGAACAGAGTCTCTTATAATGGTTTGAAATTACTTGACAGAAATTTCATTTCTCATATTGAAAAATAGTCTTAAACTCGTACTTATATGTATCCTCAAAAATAACTCCATAAATAAAAATATTATTATATTATTTTTACAACAAAAATAAATTAATCACATAAAATTAATAATATATCATATATATCTCCTTCCTTAAGAAAAAAAAATACTTAATTGCTCTTAATGTAAGATTACAATTAATAATAAAATACTAAATGTTGTGAAATTATATTTTATCTAATTGAACGTACTGTAAGGTACTAAATTAAACTGTTTGTATTTTTAAAATATTTAGAACTATATTAAAAATTAATACCCAATAAATAATTTAAACTTATAAAATATATAAAAATATAGTAAATATTAAATTACTAATTAAGAAAAAAAAATTATTCATTTATTTTTGTTACTTTTGTACAATTCCACAGTTTGGGGTTTACTAATTCCCCTCTTTATTTAAAGGAAGCCCTCTGAAAATCCCTAATTAACGTTATATTTTGAATTGAAATACCCTGAGATTCGACCGTTGAAACCTCTTTCCCCAATTCAAACGGTTCTTCCTTCTTTCTGCGTCACTGAAAAAGAGCAATTCCTGTTTCATCATCCGTCTTCTTCTCCTTCTTTTTTGTTGTTATTCTTCTTAGACGTTTGAATTTCGGGATGGCAATAACGACGCGCTCTCAAGTTTCTTCCGATCGTCGAAAATGGGATAAAATCTTTGACGGCCTCGTCAAAATGCTTAAGACCCAACAAGAACAGCTCGAGTTTCTGGTCAAAGACAGGAGATACTTGAAGATTTCGTCAAGAAGCAGCGCGAGCGCTGGGATGCAGATATTCGTTCGTATGAGATCTTCTCTCTCAGTATGCCCTAGTTTCTCTCTTTTGAGGAATTTTAGATTTAAGGTTTCAAGGACTTCTAGTTTCAGAACTTGTAATTATATTTCAAGGGGTTATGGGCTGGGGGTTGTGAATTCTTTTTGCAGATGAAAAATGATATTATGGCGCAAGAGATGGCTCGCTTGCTTGAGAGTGCAAAATCGAATTTGTTGATTGGATTAAAACAAAAAGAGGCTTTTTGCTGCAAGCTGGAATTAGGTTAGTCTTTCTTCTTCAATGTATCTATTGGGTTTTTGCTTTGATTTCTAAAAAATTGTGGAGAAAACTCTCTTGCAAGAGTGTTGCTTTTATATTCTTTACCTGTTACGAAAAAGTGGAACAAACAGGAAAAAGTTCAAGAATTGGTTTCGTACATGAACATGCGGGGAAGTATTTCATTAACAACATTCGTATATGCTTATATGTGAACATGCTTTTTATGGTTCGTATGTGTGGTAAATTTTTACCAAAACTAGGTAAAAGAATTTTTTTTTTTTTTTTGTACTTTTCAAACATATTAGATCATCATCGTCATCACCATCGTCAATATAGACATGTAGAACAAAAAAGAAAAGAAATTAGAAAATATTTTCATGCCCAAGCCTCTCTACTGCTTGCCACTCGAGTAACTGGTTTCTATTGCAAGACTTAGACTTTACTTGAGAATGTTATTCTGAGAGTAATAAAGTCAAAGGCAATTCGGATGAGAGCAATTTGCAATTGACTGAACCTTTTTGATGATTTGAAGTTGACTTCTGTCGAATAATTTCTTTAAGCTTTTTTTTTTTCCCTTGGCAGAGCACACAGAGGATGAGTTGGCTGATTTCAAAGCCTGGTTTGACTTTCTCACTGAGAATTCGAAGGTATATTTCCACACCTTCTTGCTTGTATATCATTCAAGTAAATATTGTATTTCAGAATGTAAGTTGGCAGTTTCAATTGTTTAGGATATTTCTTTGGAAGACTCCATGAATGCTTACAAGGAAAAAGCAGGAGGCGAGCATAGCAGTTTAAAGGCTGCTGATGATAGGAGACTGGAAAGTGAAGCAAGAAGATTAAAGCTTCAATATCAGGATCTGGCTTCAGAAAAGAGCTGTGACGTATCTGCACTTTTGAGAGAGAATGGCTTTGCATGGGAACAGTATAGACATTTGGAAAGTGAGCTCACAAGCAAGTTAAAGAGCAAGGATGCTGAAGCTGCACAAGCAAATGAAAAAGTTTCCAATCTTCTTTTCCGTCTTGAGCAGCTGCAATCATCTGACCATGACAAGGACAAGACAATTGCACAATTGAAAGTTAAGGTGGCTGACATGGAGGCTAAGTCTAAGAAACAGAATGCAGAAATAGCTAGACTCTCACAGCAGATTGAATCATTAAGGAAGTCTAGAAGTTCTTCAGTTACACCTGTGTTAAAGCGTTGTGCAGGAGCTATAACATTGAATTCAGGGTCCTTGAACAGCAGTAAAGATGGACATAATATTGTTGTCATGAAAGACGCATCTCTTGCCCAAATTCCTTGTCCTGCCAAAGGAACTGAAAAGGTAACTTTGAGTTAAATGTTGTTCATGCATGGACTTTTGGAATCAGCATTATGGAATTTAGAGAGAAATTAAATTTTTATATATTAAGAATGACTACATAGATGTTAATATATAGCTATTATAAAGAGAAAAAAAAAAGGATCATAAGAAATCAAATAAAATAAAGTGAAATCTAGTATCAGTGAGATTCCCTAACTGGTATCCTATGTTTTTAGGAAAATTAATTTTCTAATATTGAGATGGAAGATTGAGAGTTTTTGTTGCATCCCTTTCAAGCTTGTGAATATGCATCTCTCATTCCCAACTTTGGAGATAAGTCTTTGTAATGTCGCACTACCAGCCAATCTTTGGAATTTCACCCTACAAAGCCCTTGTTCCACCATTTGCAATTTAACCATTAATTTAGGTGTATGGAATATAAATCAATCTATTAACTTTTCCTTTATGAAATATCTATCTACTTTAATGTGCTTCATTCTGTAACATTGCATAGGATTGTGAGCAATGTTAATGACAGATACGTTGTCACAAAATAATTTCCTTAGCCTTTTTATCCGTGTGTCATCACCCTCATCTGAATAATCTCTAACGGTGCAAGTCTCAAGTACCAATTCAGTATTCCTTTTGAATACATCTAATTGGGTAGAATTATCTTTTAAGGAATTTGGAGTCCTATAAAGCACACAAAATCGAACCTCTCTCAAGTCACGCTAGGCATAAATTAGCTAACCACACTCACGATATATGCAATGTCTAACTTTATATCAACAAGATATATAAAAGTTTTTGTAAGTCTCTGGTATATCTTTCTGTCTACAAATGGATCTTTTATTATCTCTCTCAGTTTGTGACTTTTTGTCAATTTGGTATGGAGACAAGTTACAAGTTAAACTTTTCTTGTCTCCCTTAAGAAAATCGATGACATACTTCTGTTGGTAAAATAAAGATATCTTTCTCTCCGAATAAGCTATTTTCAATTAATTGAGAAGTACTTTAATCTCTT